ACAATTCTGTCAAGATCCCACGTATGTACAACACATGTGCTTTGAAGCCCAAAGACGAGTTGATTGTCTATACGCCCCAAGTGAAAGTGGAAGGGGAGCCAGAGCCACTAGCTCCCATCGCCGCGCCACCGCCTGCCAAGCGCGCCAGGACCAAATCCAAGGTGAAACTTTGTTGTGAGGTCTGGAAGTTTGGTATGTTCTTTGTTTGGCCTTTCTGAATCACAGAGGCGCAAAAACCAAACCTGTGTAAGCTTGTCATGAAGGCTGGTTGGTCACACGACTTTGAGCCGGGAGCCTTGTGATATGCGGGGGCAAGTGAAGGAATGATTCTGGACTGTGAAGTTGCTCTCGCAAATGTCTTTGTGTGTGATTGCAAGAACTCTTGATTGGCAGAGCTTGTCATCTTACAATGAAAAGTGATTTGGTAAACGTTTGAATGTGTGTTTGCAAGAGTTCTTGATTGGCATTGCGTGTCATGTCAAAGCGAACCTCCAATATGCAACCCTTTGATACGTTTAAGTGGCAGGGCTTAGGGCCTGAACTTGGCTCGTCTTAGATTCGTTAGATTGTATATTGCCCATGGCCGAAGCTGAAGTCGTAGAGAGCGAGAATGAAGAAGAGATCATGCAGCAGGACCCTTTGGATCCAGCCTCCTTTCTCATGCAGCCGACCTGGCTGCTCAAATCAGGATCAGTGAAGTGGTATCCTGAGATCGACGCGCAGGGAGGAGTAGAGTTTGTGAGGCTGAGCAAATTCGATCGCCATTTTGTCAATTCGGTCTTCAGAGGCCTATGGATTTGTCTCGAGGTGTGGGGAGATCGGCCAACAGCACACTCTTTGAGGATTTGCTGGCTTTGAGGAAGACTGCCAGTGTTGCCTCCGTGAGCGCGCAAATGGAGATGCCTGAACCTGATGAGCCCGCGAGTCAGCGCCGCAAGAAGAGGGTGCGGGACGAAGATGCGTGCTTGGTTGATCCTGTTGTTAAGATCGTGCCGCCAGGGTTTGAATACAAAGGGGAGACGTATCCCTCCCGGGAGGTCCAGGTCTTGTTGTTCGGTGTGAAGTCCAAGGACCTGTGGATTGAGCTGTCCCACAAGAACATTGCCTACATGAGGGCTTTGGTCCAAAAGGGCGAGGGGCAGGTGCCTACGAGGAAGAAGCGTGCATCGCCCAAGAAGAGACTGAAACGCATGACCCCTTGATCGATACTCCATCACCAAAAAAACAACGGCGAGCAGCTGGAGAGACTTTGAGCAATGAGGCCGAGTTTCCCAACACTCAGGTCGACCCATCGATGCATCATTTTGATGTGCGCGAGTAGGCATTCTTAGTGCTGCTTCAAAGCGCAGAGCTGCTTTGTGTTTTGGAAATGTGTTTGAATAATAGACGGAGCCCGGAGCCCTTTGAAAGAAATAGGCAAATCATTTGAGCTCGAGTCAGGAAGGTGTACGTTTGAGGCCCTCCAAGTCATGGGTTCCTTTGCGTCCTGTGCTGTGCGCCATCAGGTTGGAACCTTCACCATGGCCTGCAGAGCCTTGTTGTCGGGACCCTCAACAGCCTTGGATGAAACTCTGTGGGTGCGGTTTGCAGGAGTCTTTGAAGGGTTCTTCGTTGGGTTGTAAATCATTGCGGTTGAACTTTGTCAACATTCGTCGATCGGTGTTGGCGTGAGTTTGCACTGAACCTTCAATCAATTTGATGCCGCTTCGCCGCGGTTCAAGACGGATGCGTGCCATGTCTGAATGACGTGGGCCTTCAGACATGGCATAGCTTCTTTCGTTCACGATTACAGGCGGTTGTTTTTCACGATTGCAGGTGCACTGTGATATGCTATGGCCAGTTGTGTCGTTTACATTCATTTACTGTATACCGACACATAGACATACATACAGACTTGTGCATGCACTACCTCACAACGCACCACGCATACCACTGAGAACGTCGTAACTCCCTGTGCCACCTGTCGGGCTTGTGTTCCATGCATGCCGCTCCATGGCTTCCGAAGTTCATCTGCCAACTCACAACGCCCCATATACCATGTCATTAATTGCAGAACTTCATGCGCCAACTCCAGAACCATATCACAGACTTCACACACTTCAGTATTCAGGGGCTTCCAATTCGACCTGCCTCTGCAGAGGCATCCCTTCGAGGAGGTTGGGGCGGCGCTGAAGATGCTCGAGCGGCCGATCCTCAAGAGGGACTCCAAGGAGGAGCGCCAGGAGCTCACCATTCAAGTCAGCCCAAAAGTCCATTGGCCCACGTTGGATCATAAGTGTAGCGACTACCGGTCAGTCCAGGAGTTCTATGACTCTTTCGAAGCAACGATTGGGTCAGCAAATGATGGGGACGGGATGACTGACGTGGAAAAGCTTGAAGCAGCGCCGTTTGAAAACGTATGAGTGAGCTGATTTACCGAAAGAATCTCGGCACGGAAACGGTCAAGGATGATTACGGTGAGGTCTACAGGCAAATCAAATCCAAACACTTGATGTTCTCCGAGACTGCGGAAGAGAAAGAGATTCGCGTCTTGGAGGAAGGTGACGCCCTTCAGAAAGGAAAACTCTCTGCCTTCCAGTGGGAAGTGCACTCATCCTCGGCGTGAAACGTCAGGCAGTTGAAAACTTGGAAAATTGAACGTTTGGACCTCTTGGTCCATAGCCTGGTCCAACGCTTCACAGACCTGGATGTCTCGGGAAATCCTGAACTTCGGAGCCTTACCCCTACTGTCATGACCCCACCTAATCGACGCCCGCAGCCAATTTCCCATCAGCACTATTCATCATTTCCTCTCCTGGACTCCGTGTTCCAGAGCCCCTGACTCAGCCTATCCCTACTGAGTGGCAAAAAATTCGACGACCTTTTTTTAACCAGAGTGGACCCATCTCACTGAGAATCGCCTCCGACATTTCATTTTTGAGGCCGAGGCGGGGGGCCCCCCCCCCTTTCAACTCCACCCTCGCGCGGCTCTTTGTCAACGGCCACAAAACACCGTAAATTTTAGTGTTTTCAGCTCCTCCAGTCTGCAAGAGTGGCCTCAAACCATGCAATTTACATGGTTTTCTGTGGCTGTCCGGCCAAAAACATCATAAAAACCGATTGTTTTTTCAAGCGTCTAGGCTTCAAACATGGTCGAAAAATTGCCCAAAACATGGAAAAATTTTGTCGGAAAGGCATTTTTCGGCTTTTGGAGGCTTCTAAAGGGCACAAAACGACGGTATTTACACGGGTTTGTGCGCCTTCCCGGCACAAAACCCTGAAAATTGCGATGGTTTTGGGCTATGTACGCTTCAAAGTGGCCACAAAACACCGTACTTTCAGCTCCTCCTGTCTTCAAGAGTGGCCTCAAACCACGCTATTTGCAGGTTTTTTGGTGGCGGAAAGGGTTTTTTCGGCGCTTGGAGGCTTCAAAGTCACACAAAAACGACGGTACTTACACGGGCTCGCGCGGCTTCCTGGCACAAAGCCCTGTAAATTGGGATGGTTTTAAGCTATGTACGCTTCAAAGTGGCCACAAAACACCGTCAACTCCACCCTGGCGGGTTCTTTGTCAACAGCTACAAAACACCGTCAATACCAGTGTTTTCAGCTCCTCCAGTTTGCAAGAGTGGCCTCAAACCATGCAATGGACAGGGCTTTCTGTGGCTGTCCGGCCAAACACCTCGTAAAATCCGATGGTTTTTCAAGTGTCTAGGCTTCAAACATGGTCGAAAAGTATTTGGTGCTTCGAAAAGTGTCTAGGCTTCAGTACTTGGTGCTTTGCCTTAACTTTGATCCTCTAGCCAGGGCTTCTGTTCAACAGGGGGGCCCTGACCTCCTCCAGGGTTACGCCTGATTCCCTGCTACCTTTCGTTCACCCCCTCCTCTCTCAAATTTGTTTGTTTGTTTGTTTTCAAGCATTGTCTACATTCGCTTTGGGCTTCAGCACCTTGAACATATGTCATGAAAAACCAGCATCGCACAAATCAACTCACGGAATTTGCGGGGAATATACCGCCTACAGCGCACTTCCAGTGGTAGAATGATTCATCAAAACGACGCAGTGCAATTACAAAACCTTAGAGTCAACGAGTCGACAGCAGTTGCCTTTTTTGCATTAATTTCAGCAGTCTGACATTATGAACTAATAAAAGACACGTAGTGTGGACCAGCTAGAAACAGCAACTCATCATTTGTACAGTCGCCTTGGCAGTGCATTTTTTTTTAATCATGGCTTTACCGAGCCCCGCATGCTTTGCCACTTGGATACATTGAAGGTTGCTCAATGCAGTAGAGCGAAAGTTGAACATGACAAGATTGAACAAACCCAGGATATTTTAGACTTTCACAAACTGGACTGGTGGGCAGCTCAGCTCAGCGATGCTTGGTGCAGGTCAACTAGATGCCCAGTATGTGAAGGAACACTGCCTTTGACTGCAGGTACACGGCTTCCAAACATTTGGGAACCCTGCTGGCGCAAAAAGGTTTCTGCTTTATCAAGGGCTCGTTGGAGCAGGCAGGAACATCCATATCGATACATTATTTTTTTGCGAGATGTTTTTTGGAAGGCTTTTGGTTGACATTCTGAGTGGCACAATTTCTCTTTGATGTGCAAGAGAAAACAGCTATGGAAGGAAACCAGGAAAGTTTGAATTGGCAGCTGCCTCAACTGATTTGATAGGAAGACAAGGACAAGATCAAAAAGGAGGCTGGTGATGTGTTTTCCATCTGCATGTTCAGGAACGAGGCAGTCACTGGTATTGATATGCAATGGATCTTGATCGGAATGAAGCACCACATATCATATCAGTTGAAGGAGGGAACCCTTGTGGATGCCTTGATGCATCCAATTTTGTGCTTCCAGCTTTTCCCTTCGCTTTCAACTTCAAGGTACTGAGGGGAGATGGTCGAAATTAAGAGCCACATGTTAACTCATTGTCAGCATATTAGTCCTAACACAAACACACGCACACAGACACACTCACACACACACACAGCATTAACTTAAGAACTCTGCTTCCAAAATATATTTACCTGGACCTTGTCGATAGACAGACACGGGCCGTGCCATGGTGTGGTCAGTCAGGTCTGCAGCACTTCGAATGTTTTGCATCCCTCGACGAGTTTTCTTTGTCAACACCATCATCAGTCCGATTCGTTTCCGATCTCCTACAGGACGCAACCTGGCGGTACATCCGTGCGGCTGTCTCAAGGCACCTTTAGTGGGGGCGCATGATGCTTTGCTGCGAAGACTCTGTGATTCTGGGAAAGTTGCATTTGGAACCTACTGTATTTGATTTATTTGGTTGGAGGCCATCGCTCTTAGGTTGGAGGCCATCGCTATTAGGTTGGAGGCCATCGCTATTAGGTTGGAGGCCATCGCTATTAGGTTGGAGGCCATCGCTCTTAGGTTGTAGGCCATCGCTATTAGATTGGAGGCCATCGCTTTTAGGTTGGAGGCCATGGCTATTGGGTTGGAGGCCATCGCTCTTAGGTTGGAGGCCATGGCTATTAGGTTGGAGGCCATCGCTCTTAGGTTGGAGGCCATCGCTATTAGATTGGAGGCCATCGCCATTAGATTGGAGGCCATCGCTTTTAGGTTGTAGGCCATCGCTATTAGATTGGAGGCCATCGCTATATTGGTTCATCAATTGAGTAGTTGTGTTGACAGTAGCACCCTCGCCTACCTTGATGAAGAAAGCATCTCTACTTGACACAACACAGAGGCATCTTCACGATTGGCCGTGCAGCATGTTGCGATATGGTCCTCTCTGATCCAGCAGTGAGTAGCCACAAGCTGAGTTGGTGGAGTTGCAGTTGGAGAGATGACCAAACAACATAATGGACAGGGGCACCATCCCGGCCACAATGAGGAGTACACGAGTGATCCTGTTGACTGTTCGCCTGAGCTTGCTAGGAACGCTAGCACACAAAAACCATGTTGCCCACTTTCCCCTTCTGGACTGGGCATCTATGCTTGCATAGCAGCTCATGTGGGGCAACGTCAGGTCGGATGAATGGAACATACCCTAAAAGATCCTAAAATGGTTTAAAGGGTTGGTGTGTATGTCCAATGTTTTCAGGCTTCGAATCTTGTGTCATGTCTTGCAATTCTTCAGCTACTTGATCTGAACGTCCCACTGTCTCGCTGCATTGTCTCGCATTCGTTCTGTTCTCGCATGAGAACAGATTGAGGTAGCCATTGCACTTTGCTTTGTGATGGGTCTAGTTCTCAGACCAACAGATCCAGAAGAGTGCGCACAACAAGTGATTTGGATAGCATCGTTTTGTAGCATAGGGCTCCGTAGAAATGCATTGTTCTCAGGTGGCCCTTGCAGTGATCCATACGAATCGTTACCCGTTACCCATTGATTGTCCCCAGTTCTGAAGTTCAGTATCTGCTTGTCAGCCCGAGATCACGCCCTGAGTCACGGTGACCTCGCACGAACGGCCCGTCGCTTTCTCACCGGTCGGTCCGCGTTCGGGTGGACCGTCCAGGGACGGAGGGCTCACCGTGGAGGATCGCAGCACGTGCCTGGGCGGAATTCTCCACGTGACGGGAACGACCGGAACGCGGACGACGGAGGACGTGTGGCGCACGGGTTCTTTGGATGCTTTTCATTCCGTTATTTTCTTTTTTTGCCTTTCCATTTTGGTGAAAAGGAATCCAATTGAACGCAAGGCAGTTTGAGGTGAAGAAGGGGTTGTCTTGGGTTTCGCGTCCAGATGCGATCGATATTTGATGTGTGAATAGATTGATAGACGCACGACCATTTGCATAGATTTAAGTGATGTGCGTGTATCGTTCAGATGGATACATGAGTTTGAAGTTTGATGACCTGCTGTGAGGAACGGCACCTACGTGAACAGAATGCGCTTGCCGAAGGGTGACGCGCTTGGGTTTCATTTGGATGTCAACCTGCACCCTATTTTCATTCCCAGAGAAGTGACAAGTGGAATGAAAGATGGACCCTTTTCATAGCATTTCCCCGCGCCCCCCCTCATGGACTCTTGCATAGTTACCATCGGGAGTGCTTCCTGCTCCGGTTCCCCCTTGTGGACTCTTGTATAATCTTGACGTTCTTAGATATGAACACATTCTGATTCTTATCTATTTCCATTCAGTTCCCCCCCCTATTCCTGGTTTTCATTGGTTTTGTATCACTTCTTGGCCTTCGTGGATTCGCTTGTTTGATTGTTGTTAACTGTCAGCTACTTACATACTGCTCGTTTCTTTTGTGCGCAGTTTCCCCGGACACTTACCCTTGCAAAGGCCAACGGAGGTCGCTTGCTTCCGGCGACACCATACTGCTGTCTCAAGGCATGTCTCTTGTGTCAAGCCCGCTTGACTGATATAGACACACCTACTTGTGCCTTCAAGACCAAGGACCAAGCAGAGTTGGTGGAATCTTGAACTATGAATTGACCCTCTGTGAAAGAAGCAGTGCCAGTTCTTTTGTACTCCGACGGGTTCTGGAATGGTTGGAACAGTGTGCATGCTTCTGTTGTTCGGACAGCTCCCGACGGGTCGTTTGTCGCGAGAAAAGCAGGCGCGGTGAAGCTAAGCTTCGAATATGAAGCGGATGAGACCGAAGAGGCTGGATGCGAAGCCAGAGTTGAACAGCACTTTTTGTGTCGCAGAAGCAGTCATTGAGAATCTGGCTCAGAACCAGAAAGAAGGTCTACTCTACTGGATGATTGAAGATGACCACATCCCTTTTTTCTTTTATTTGCAAAGCAATTTGTTGCCAGGTTCCAGTTCGCAAGAAGCTGCGGAAGTTAAGCGTTTTTGAGGGCCAAAAGCTCTCAACCAAGGAGGCCGGCTCTAGGTTCTTTAATTGATACGATTCTTCTCATTTTCATCTTTCCTAGTATGACTGTCTTAGTATGAAGATGTCCTGAAATTCATTGGGCTTGCTCTTGAATGGGGCTCCCTCAGGCAGTGTGCCCGTCAAAAAACATGTGGCGCTCCTAGAATCTTTAGATGTTGAAGACGGGATCACAGTGTTAAGGTCAAGCTTTTCTTTGAGTGAATGCCTTCGGAAAAAGACTATGTACTCACGTACACTCTGAAGAGAGTGCTTCCTTGGTCCAGGCAAATGATGCTTTTGGCTTTCCCCAAAAACCCCGAGGTCCAAGAGCGAGTCGCCCCCCGGCACCGCTCCGCACGACGAGGGAGGCGAGTTGGGCATCCTCCAGGTCTCAGTGCGTCTCCGGAGTGCGTCGGAGTCGGTCCCGTCGACGTTGAGAGATTCCAATCCTGCCCAATCTGCAGAGAGTTCTGGAAGGCTTTCACCTCAAACACCTTTGGATTTGGATATAGAGGCCATCGTTCCTGGCTCGTCATTTCGTGCTGAGAAAGCAGAGAGCGGACCTGTGCCTAAAGGACGAAAGCGCAAACTCGAGCGGGCAAAAACCTTCGTGGGACATTTGAGTGCCCCTGCACTGCTGCAATGGTTGACCAAGAGGCGTTGCAATCGTCAGGAGGAAAGTACAACAACTGAGCCAGTTTTCTCAAGATCTGGAGAAGAGCGACGTAGAGCTGAACGCTATTTACAGGAGCAAGTGCATTTTTTTCATGAAGAGAAAGATGGTGAGGAAAAAGCTGGTGAGATCATTCTACTTTCTCCTCCCGAGATGATTGGTTCATTGAGGTCTTCTTCTTTCTGCAAGGGTCAAAAGGGATTCAACTCCGATGGCTTTACAACTGTGCTTCCGTCAACTCGATTGCAGACTGATCCTTTCGTGGCAGCTCGAGCCACCGATCAGTGGGACTCGATTCACAAAAGTGTCATCTCTGAAGCGGCCAAGGCCTTTACTAGATCCAAACTGCCCAAGGCTGCCTTTACCCCCTGGAAAAGTCAAGAGAGTTTTCAAGAAGCTTCAGACTTGGAATGCGCACTGCAGATCTTACAGGATCGCTCCGACTTGGAGCCGGGCCGCCGTGTGCTCATGCGCCGTGCAGGTGCCCAGCCCAAGGCCGGGCTTTTCGTCGATCCGCCGCAGCACTCGGCCGAGGCGTCGGCGGCCGCGCAAGCGGCGCAGAGTGGGGTCCTCGCAGCGTTGGCCACGAAGAACGACTTTCAGGCAGCGACCTTCTTGTCCGAACACTGGGCCGAGTCCCTCCGGCACGTGCGGCCGGGTGTTTTGGGGACTTGGCAAACTTGGGCTTGGAACGAGCCTCGTGGTCGACGTCAACAGGGCTTTCGAGATGTTTTGCACTGCTGTTGGGCCTCTCGCGAGTTTTGCCTGGGCATCTCGGGTCACTTTGTGGGTCGCAGGATGCGAGCTGGCCAGACTCAAAGGGCTTTCGGGCTGTCCGGTGGACAAGAACATGGCATGTGTAGCTGCGGTGAATGGCTGACCCGTTCAAAAGTTAAGGCCCATGCGTGTGACAAGTATGTGGGCAAGCCACATGATACGTCGAATCGTTTGAAGGTATTTTGGCAGACGAGAGGCCTGCTAGCTTTTCGTGTTCTCTTCAAGCACCAGCTAAACCCGCCTGCTGTCGACCTTACGTTGGAAGCTGCACTGGAATCAGCTCTAACATCCCTCATGTGGTCAGACTACTGGGGGGCTGCTCATGTGACCTGCAGCTGGCGGCTTTGTGTCCAGCCAAACTCGAAGCAGTCTCCAGCCTGGGCCATCAACCAGACACGTTGCGAGGCTGTACCTGCGCAACCGTCAGCCGGAGCTCCATTAACTTCACAACAGCTGATTCTTCTCGGCTGGATGCGCTTGCAGGAAGCGAGAAGCTCCTACACTTCAAGGCAAATCATCCGTGAGGACCTCTGCGAGGTTGGAGGGAGTGTTTGACCTCAGTTCTACTTTTCCCGTTTCTATTCAATAAGTTTGAACTATTTCTGGTTATATTTCTTTCTTGGATTGTGGAGGATGGCTTCAGATCAAGCAGTGGACATGTTCAGATTATATAGTGGTTTTCTCATGCTTTCTCATGTTTTCCACTAAAGAACCATAGTGTAGTCGTGTGGGAATTCACCAAACGACATGCTGCTCATCTTGCTGACAGACGGATGTGTGCTTGGAGCTGCTGGTCGAACGTGACTTCAACGAGAAAGGTGGTCTTATTTTTCGCTCTTCAGGCACAGCCTTCTCCAACTTTAGCAAGAAGTTCTCAGGATTTCTGTGGACAAGGATGAACAAATGAAATCACACGAACAGATCCTGTAGCAGCCGAGCATGTTCCAGTGAAGAACCGGAGTGTGAGACACCCACTTTCTTTGTTTGTTTGTTTGTTTGGATGGTTCTAAGTTGAGAAAGAAGACTTAAGAAGACGATGACAATGTCACAGTGCAACTGCTGAAGGGTGCAACTATATCCAGCGCCTTGCGCCTTTGCTCACCTCGCTGGACGATTGCGTTGCGCCTTTGCGGCAGCGTCATCGAGGCAGGGCATCGGATTTCTGGCCACTCAAGTCACAATCATCTCTTCCTACGACAGGTTCTATTTGTCAATTAAACGAGACGAGCAAATGAGCCTGTCAAGGACATGAGGTGGATCACCAAAGTCGCTGGTGGTCTTTTGGCTCTTGTTGGCCCCCTTCATTTGTGCCATGTGAACTTCTTCAGCTATACATCTATCAAATTCAATTCCTGTGGTGGAGAAGCCTTAGGTCGCTGTCTTCTGGATGCACCTGGAACCTTGGTGCTGGTCCAAGCGCATATGCTACCTTCTTGGAAAGCCGCGCTCCAAGATTCTGCGAAGATCCTGTGCATTCCAAACCACAAGAAGATGAGGCCCGGCAGCTCGGTCACCCGGACTTCACCTCACGAGCTCGTGGTATATGTCCTTTTGGGGTTTCTCCTTTGGGTGTCCTCAGGAGCTTGAAGGTGGCGGACCTTGTGGCCGCAGAGGTGATCTTGGCCTCGCTGCAACTCTTCGGCTCCGAAGGCCCTGGTGAAGTCGAATGATGGCTTTGTTACTTGTTGAGTCTTGTTTGCTTGGGTCTTCTCTGCCTCAGGATATCAACGGCATTTTGACTCTCTTTCCAAGCCTGGCTTGGAAGTCTGGGAAGCAAACCTGCCGGAGCCACCGGTGGCCGACGACGGAGGGGAGGGAGGAGAGGAGACCTTGGCGTGCGGAGACCTGGTCGAACTGCACAGCCTCGTAGCGTCTGAGATGAATGGCCGAAAGGGGCGGCTCTTAGAGTGGCAAGAGGCCTCAGGCCGTTGGTCCTGCCTGCTGCTGGGGCAGCCTCAGGGTTCACGCAAGCGTTCACGGAAGGGTGAGAGACAGGAAAAGGGGAGCTTGGTGAATGTGAAACCTTGCAATCTCAAACGTATTGGTAGAGTTAGGGCGGCCAATAAGAAGCAACGACGCGGAATTCCTGAACCTCAAACAAGGGCTGGAACCTCAGCTGCTGTGCAGACCGCAACTCGCATTCATCACGCCCTTTTGGACACTTTTTGCCAAGAAATGACCATGGAAGCAGTCGCTCTGCGTACCTTTGTTCTTAGTAGCTTCTTGTTCCTAGTAGTGAGGCCAGGAGCTACTAGTGGCGTCCTTGCATGTCCTCGCTCCTAGTAGCGATGCCCTTTGCTACTAGTACCGTCCTTGCTCCTAGTAGTAAGGCAACGACCCTGAAATGACCTGTGTTTTTTTGCCGACTTGCCAAGGTCTCCAAATACTACGCAGAGTTGCGGGCTCGCGAGGATTACATGGCCAGACGCCAGGCCAACTCGATCGCACACTGATTCGGCGGTTCATGGAAAAGGAATTTATTGGCAGGTCTCCACTGTCGGATTTGACTGTGAAGTCTAACAGATGCACCAACCTTCGATGCGCATTTTCGGAAGACTCGGCATCCACAGGTGGACCTGGAGCGTCAGACTCTAAGGCTCATGCGCCAGGCCCGTTCCACGGTGTCCGGCCGCGGGTCAGTAATGGATGGTGAGCTTCCGGAGGTAAGCGTGTCTCCCGGGTGTTCGAAAGTGTACTGCACCCCCCCAAAGTGGTGGCTCGGTGGGAGGCGTTTATTGAACCAGGATTAGATGTAAGGAAGACATGCAAGGATTAGATGGTGAGCCTGCAACTGTGCTGGGGCAGCTGTTTTTCATGAAGCACCCGGAGGTCTGACCCGAACCGAGGCGGCGAAAAGCAGTGAACCTTGGCCGATGGCCTTGGCCAACAGCCACTTCCTTAGAAGCAGGGGACAAGGACCAAGTCATGTAGACGAGCCTCAAGTGACTTCCAGTCAGTGTCTCATTGTATTCACATCTCAGGGCCCATGTAGTTTTACTTTTTTCCAATCCTCTCCCATTATCTGGCCAGTCAACCTTTTGTTTTCAGACAAGAAGCATCCCCTCTGGCCGCCAAGGCGGAGCTGTGCTGGAAATGTTCCACTTCAACCGCTTGGTACTGGATGATTGCCAGCTCTTGGCCAGGCCTGGCAACCTTAGCAGCTCTCCTTTCTGGTCATTGGTGGCTTGAACATCCATCAGCTGTCACACTTCCTCCCAGCACACATAGCTTCACACTTCCTCGCAATTCGTTCAAGCTTCCATTTGCTGGTTCGACCCAGTTCTTGAATCGAACCCCGCTCTTTGCACCTGAGGGATCTGGAGCAGATCATCTCGGGCGGAGCGCCGAACAGCCTGGCGCTCTACTTGACCAAGGTCGGAAGAAAGCGAAGTTTTCCTCAACATCTAGGAAACCAACTCATGGTGAAGCTGAAGCTCTAGGGTTTCATGGTTGGGACACGTGGGAGGGACTCAGCGACTCAGCTTAGTAGCTTACCTCCTTACTCACAGTAGCTTACGTAGCTTGCTTGTAAGCCTCACCTCACGGCCTACCCCGCCTGGACAAAAACCAGTCTGAGAGGGTAGTAGTTGGCCCAGTTGCCCAGAGCCAAGATGCGGTCGCAAAGAACAGACCCCTCCAGCTGTAGAATTGGGCGACCAGCTCCCTCTCCTTATTTCTGTCTCGGTCGTGGCAGGTGGCACCACTCTATGCCGTTCATGCGATCCGGGCGCAGTCTCGGTGGGGCCTGGCAGACTTGGAGTGCCTCAACTGAGCAAGAGGTGGTGCTGAGAAACTCATGCCATTACTCCACTCCAGGGGCAAGGATGTTGCCCAAAGGCGGAGGGAAGCTGGTGGGATGACCACTCAGTCCCGACTCAGCCTAGAGCATCCTAGAACAAGTATCAACAGCAAAGTCAAAAGGCCATCCAATCAAAACACAAGGAACAGCAAACGGAATACCAACCTCCAACGTAATCTCTTCATCATGTTAATCTCGGCATGAACAGCCTCAGCCATAAAATGGCCAAGGGCCTTCCGGAGAATCACATCTTTCCAGTTCCACATGAAAAACCGATCCCAAGCTCCACCGAACTCGCCTCGTCTTGTGTGACGCTGGCCGGCAAACCAAGCAACTTACTCGGAATGACAGTTGGTCTCACTTTTGGCGTGTTGAACACCCATTTCAAGGAAAGGCTCTGGCGAAGCAGCAACTGAGAACAGTCATTGCTTTGCCATCCAAGCAATTGAAGCAGAGCATCGCGGAGTTCTGTACATGTATACACTGGGGTGCCAAAAGCGCTTCTTGACTTCTAAAACATCACAAACCCTTTCCCCTTAGAATCCTACGTGCAACATGTCGACACCTAAGTTGCGGTCAGATTTCCATACCTGAAAGCCTTATAAGTACTATAAATTTAAACGGGTGTGGAAATCTGACCGTGCTGTACCTGCCACGCAAAATGGACGTGTTAATCCGATCCGCTGTAGACCGCAAATGTCATGTTGGAACAGAGTAAGAAGCGTAAACTTTAGGGTTCTTGAAGTATATCTATGTGCTTTTCCAAGCTATTCCGCTTTGGCAGCTTGTGCTTGTCGAAACCGACTCCTTGGCGTTCCTTTGCCGCCACGAGGTGCTTGAAAGCGCGTCAAGTGGACATGGCTCCGCCGAAGCCTTGGTGTCTCTAGGAGCAGACGGACTGAAGCAGCCATGTGGAGATGAATGCACAAGTGAAGCGACGAACTAAGGATGGCATCGTTACTTGGAATTCAGATTCCTTGGGGAGATGCCGTGGAGGCCAAAGCAGAGTTTGTTTGGGCACTCTTGTTCAAGTTGAGTCTTTGGGTGGTTGATCTCCCAGTCAACAAAAGAACTGCCCAGCGAGCGTTCAACCTCCAAGCCACAGGAAGATCTGCGCAAGGTTTGCGCAGTCTAATACAATTGAAGTTCAACTCTCTATGATTGTGTCGGTCTACCCGTGTAGGAACGGAGAGCGACGTCGACTGCCGTCGCAGGCCCAGCGCTTCTTGGATGCTTGGGCGACCGACCTCGATGGGGAGGACGGGTCATGAAGGTCTGTTGGTCATGGCATTGAGGCTGGATTCAGCTTCAGATTCTGAGTCAATAATGCCTAAATGCGAGTATCTCTGCGAAGTTTTGTTTCTTCCTGACATGGGTGACATGGGCTCCGCCAGAAGCTGTTTTGGGTCAAAGGGCCTAGTAGCCCCGGTTCGAAAAGAGAGCCGCTCACACTTGCCAGAATGTGGGAGCCTCAGAGCAGCTTGCTTATTCAGAGATGCCAGCTGGGTGTTGTCGTCGTTCTGCAGTTTTTGATGGTGGTGGTAGTGGCGGTCACAATGAAAGGGACAAGAAAGATTTGATGGTAGGTTGTTGTCAGTCCTCTTTGTCCTTTGTAGATGGTGAGGACGTTCAGCAGTGCTCCACCACCGCCGCGTATTCGTTGTCCAAAGTGACCGACCTGGGACTCATTGCAAGAACGAGGGCAGATGCCTGTCCCAAGATCCAAACCCATTGGGTAAAGGAAAAACACTGGACAAAGACCTGTGGCTATTGACTGGCCTTACTCTTGAGCCACAGAAACCAGTGGTTCAAACTGCTGAGGTTCAGCGGTCTATCACGCTGCCTCGGCCAGGGCGTGTTTGGGCCCCAGACTTTTTCGAAGCTCGGCTTTCTGGGGCCCTTTTTTTCTCGGGAGAATCACGGCGTCCAAAAGCATCAACCGGGTTACTTGGACCAATTGAGAGGTACAAATGTGCGTCTCAGAATGGTTTCCACAGGCGCCGCACTGCGGGCTCTTTGGCCAAACAGGCTGGACGGCAGACGGCACTGGACGGCTCACGCTCACGCCATGTTGCCTCGCACCAATGGAGGTGGCCACAGTCGGAGTACAGCTGAACTTGCTCTTTCCATACGACATCGTCACACAACGACCTGGCGAGAGACCACTACATCACTCGATATCACATGAATTCGCATCATATCAAGGACGCTGTTAGGTGGAGGCCATCGCAAGTAACAAGAAGCCACTAGTAAGAAAGGGCATCGCTACTAGGAGCAAGGACGCTACTAGTAGCTCCTGGCCTTACTACTAGGAACAAGAAGCTACTCGTTGCTTTCACCCCGGGGTCTCCACGGACGCCCGTGGTGCCGCACCACGCGGCTGAACTTCACGTCACATGTTGCACGGCTGTTTCCGGTGAGGCGATCCGGACGCCTCTGGCCTTCGAGGCAATGCCCAAGACCTTCAACCCAAGTGTGATGAGGCGAGCGATTCACAGGGATCAAACCGATTTTTGCCAACGTGGCAGAATTGACAGGGATTGTGCTTTTTCTTCGGTCCCTCAGTATCGATCAGTACAGGCCCTTCAGTGTGCTCGGCACAAACTACATGCGGTATGTGACACCACAGCCGGTCCCTTAGGCGAAGGAAAGGCGATTCTAAGGTTCTTTCCAAGTGTTGACACAAATAAAGCATGGAAATGGAACATGGCGCCTTGGACTTGGAGCCTGCGGAGCCCGAGGATTCCTATGCCGAAGCCGGTTGCGGTGGAGCCGAGCAAGGCGGTCTTTGATCTGTGGTGGACAACACTTGTGCCACTCACCAGTTCACATGAGAGGCAATCCAGGAAGCCAAGATCATGGTGCCACAAGAAGGAGATCTGTGGAGCACAAGATTTTACCCGAGTACCGCAGATTTGGTGTGTTTTGTGCAATTTACAGTGTAAGATGGCGTAGCGCTGACCAAATCTGGATTCCAACACTGCGAATTGATGTTTGTGAGTTTAATTTCTGTGGTGGTGAGTGGCACAGAGTCTGCAGTTGCAGCAGTTGTTGCTGACTCGAGTGCGTAGGAGTGGTGGATGCCTGCAAGAGAGACTCGATGGTTTTTGAGGTTCGGACAACTTGGATGACATGCCAGCGGCTGCCAGACCAGTGTCATGCAAGAGATGCATCATTGTCAAATGATGTGAAGAAGCACCGTAAAGAGGACACAACCCATTGAATTGTACATTGACATGGACCTGTGGTGTTCTTTTCTTTGAGCAGCTGCCGCAAGAGCCTCACAAGGCGCATGCCATGGAACATCAACTAGGAATAACTAGGCGTATGACACAGAACGGATCGATCTTTCACACTCTAGATGAGCTGAGGGTGTAAAGTGTAAATACTCACTGACAACATGCAGAAGCATTGGTACTTGAATCATTTGGAGCTCGTTGAGGGCTGTGTGTGGCCATGGCCATGGATACGATGGATGATTCACAGGTGTCCATGCTCAGGGAGGCTTTGCGTGGCTTGGCGGATGATCAAGGCTGCGTGGGGGAGGAGGCATTGCAAAACGTGCCAGGCTTTGATGAGTCAGTGGCAGCAACACTGGAAGCCCAGCTTGGTTGTGGGCCATGGCACGTGGCGACCTTGGAAGAACTCTTCTGCACCGAGCCCAACGAGGACCTTCACGAGGATCAAGAGGATCTTCCGCTGCGGAAGGCCGATGTCTCTCCCGTGAGTCTGGGCCGCTTTGCGTCCCCACCACGCCGACGCTTGCCCAAGCGGCACACCATTAGCTTTGCTGCAGAGGCACAACAGATGGTGGATGGAGAGGACAGCGATGATGAGTGGTTTCGCTTGTCCGTGGCAGCCGAAGAGGCCTTGCGCGAAGAAGAGGCCTTGGATGCCCTGCACTTGGCACAACTGGTGAGAAGGATGTGGGAGATGATGCAAGGCTGGCATCAGCAAAAACAAAGCATGCAGCAGCAGATTGACAGGGCGGTAGAGCAGGCTAAGCTTGAAGGTGACCGTGCTGATCATGCTGAGACAGCGAGACTTGCTGCAGAGGCCGCAGAGGCTGCGGCGCTCGCTCAAGTGGAAGAGCAACAGAAGCGTCTGATTCAAGGGCGGGAGGCCATCAAGAGACTGGATCAAGAGTTGGAAGAGGCTCGTCATCGCATTGACTTCCAAGATGCAGACTTGCGCGAGCAACAGCAACGTTTGAAGACAGAGGAGAAGCTCCGAAGACGTCTTGAAGTTGAAAAGCAGCAAAGCACGACCCCACGTAGTGCCACCCCACGTGCAGCTGGAGCCACAAGTAGTGGAGCCGGTGGAGTTGCCGATGCCCTTGACAGCCGAGAGGCTCTTTGCAAGAGGCTCCAGGCTGCAGAGGCCGAGTTGGAGCTTCTGCGTGAGGAGTTGTTGGCCTCGGAGGAAGCGGCGCAAGCCGAGCAGAAGCGTTCCGTGGACCTGGAAGTGGCGTTGGAGCGAAGTCAGCGAGACTTCGTGGAACTGAAGGAGCACCTGGCGGCCTTGGAGAGGAGGGGTCGGCGCAAGCGAGAGGAGGCCTCCAAATCCAAGAGTTGTGTAGACTTGGGCGCTTCCCTCGGTCAGGAATTGCAGACCTTGTCATCAGGTGATGCAGCAGCAGGGCCAAAGGCAACGGTGGAGCCCTCTGTGACCGTTTTTGACCGAAAAGCACGCTTGCAGGCTCAGTTGAGCCGGCCAAGTGCAAACAAACATCAGATTGTTGAAAAGCCAAGTGCCAAGACAGGGACGGGCTCGGGCGGCTTGAGCCGCACGAAATCAAGCATGCCCAGTGATATGGCTTCCTTGAGCAGGCTACTAGGTGGAGGCTTGTTGGGTGAGGTATCGCGATGAACCGGCCTAACTTGAATGCCGTTCGCTTATGCTTGTACTTTTTCACCGGCAGATGTCCCGAAATTGACCAGCCTCGTTTGATTGGTGCGGAGGAATTGGGCTCAAATCCAGGTCTGCTGCACCAGTGCGTTTGAGCGTGCTTAATTATGGCAGTGGTCTTCTAAGCATGCAACTGCCACGGAATTCGTGCAGATGCAAGGAGTACCACTGCACAGCAAGTTTCACCAAAATGACATGAAGTTGCGGCGTGTCGCAGCATGCACGGAAAACAGTTTCTGTTTGTGGAGATTGTCAGCAGGTTGCATCAGTTGAATGAAGACATCCCCACATTACTTTTGAGGACATATGTTGCAATGAGAGTGGGTTTTATGTAACCCATGTGCTGTGAAAATCTCTTATGAACTGTTTTGTCTAGGTGATTTGCTGTGAACCATGGTCAAGATTTCCAACCATCCAACACACACACACATAGATTCCTCGCAGACTCGTCCTGTCCCAGATTGGCATCTCCTTTGTGGTCCTTCACTACCAGTCGATCTTCATCGGTGTGATGCGCTGCCTCTTCCAGGCAGTTCTGAACCGTGGCTGCCATGTGGCCATCTGCTTGTCCAGACAACGGCGCAGAGGAGAGGATGACCTGCACGAAGTCAGAAACTCTCAGAACATCTCCTTCTATCAAAGCCACTTGAGCGCAATTTTTCACCCTTGGAAAGATGGGGGCTCTTTTGAACAGATGATGTAAGACGTCGCTCATGTGGCTTACACCCGAACCCGCAGGTTCCGAATGAGGCTTCGGTACTTTACATGCTTACTTTCCAGCTCTGACAGGCATTCCGTCCATTGCTCATCCTCTTCATCTTTGGACAAATTATCAAGGCCAAGGACATATTTGAGGGAGACTGCAACAGGTGAGCCAGTTCGTTTCAACATAGGAAGGCAACCATGTTTTCTTACTTGTGGACGAACTTGCTTCTGATCTGGACAACCTTGATCCTCATCCTTAGATATCCTTAGATGAAAGCCCGAACCTGCAGCTGACTTGCTAGGCTGTCTTCTTCATCGCCGGAGCTCCAATTTGGATGTCCTTCTATTCCATCTGGCTCTTCGAGGAGCGATGACGCTCGACGACCGCCGTCGTCGGGTCGGAGCCGGGCACACCCCGGGCGGCCTGGTCCAGGTCACCTACGGGCTGGCTCAATGCGCCATCTCCTTCATTTTCATCAGCGACTTGGCGTTTCAGAAGTAAAAGTCCTTTTTTCAGATCTTGTTGTAGGGGGATCTCCAGACTTAGGTGTTACTTCTGCTGGAAGCAGACTGGCAAGAATCGACTGGATACACACATGACATGTTTTATTCACTATGTACCAGTCATTAACATAGGCGTTGAAAAAGGTCAATTTTGCGTGCCTCCCTATCTCAACAAGGCCTCCCCAATGCAAAAGCCCGAATGAAAGACGCAATATATAGAGATCTATTGGGCAAGAAATCCTCGTTTTGTCTTTGCTGTTAGTCCGAGTCCATCAGTATTTTAGGTTCACCAAGTGGGGCTGGGAACTTGGCCAGGCTTCTTCTACAACAACCTCTCCTTTGCTCGCATTCGACCAGCAGTACGTCAGATGTTGCGACAGCAGAAGGACCAGTCGCAAAAGACTTTTGGGTCTCATTCTTGTTGCTTCGTTTTCCACTCTGGCAACTTGTGTTCTTGCTTTACCGCTCATAGAACAATCATTTAGAAAGGAACCTGGTCTTCGTTCCAAGATTCTTGGCCTTTGCCGTGTACACCCTGTTTTCGCCGTGTTTGCACCGACCAGACCTCGGACGACCAGGACAAGCTGGCGAAAGCTGCACGAGCTCTGCTTTAGGCGTCCGGAAGACCGCTCCGTTGTGGCAAGGCTTTTTGGATTCGGCCTGAGGGCTCCTCACTGGGTACCACTGGGTCAAATACTGCAAGTTGAACCTCGACTCGCACTGTTTTCCTAGAAGAAACGGTGACAATGGTCATGGAACGTCGATGTGCGCAGCCTGCAGCGGTGCAAGGTGATTGAAGAAGCAGCCAGCCGAAGTCAAGGGTCTATTCTGAGAAGCGAGCAGTTGTCATAGAGATAGATTGGTACGGAGAAAGGAGAAAGTGCTGCTTTGCGGATCAAAAGAGCAGGATCTTGCCTATTTTTACTGTAGTGCTTTTCGATGTAGACTTTTCTAGATTCTAGCCATGTAATGTCAATTCTTTCGCTCGTTTCTGGACAGGCTGGCATTGTATGGCTTGTGTCATGCGTAACTCTGTCACTTTCAGCGCGGAATCAGATGTGTCGGCAGGATGGTCTTGGCACCTCCCGCTCCCCCGAGGCCGGGAGGATGGTCTGTTTGGTGCCAAACACGGCCGTCCGGTGTCGGCGGTGTCGGACGTCCGAAGCTGCTCTGCACTGTGGAGTGAAAGGAAGCTCTTGAGGGGGTTGGATTTGTCCAGCTCTTGAGGTCTTGAGGTGCAGCGTTTGGGGTGAACAGATCCACTCTTGAGGTCACTGACGACCCACAAGTGCAGTCGCCTTTGTCCAAGTCACAAGACTGCACTGTGTGGGGTGTCCAAGTCACAGACTGCAGAGTACCGAAGTTTGGACCATCAAATGATGGTTTTCTCTTGAGGCAAACAAGTGTGGAACCAAGATTTGGGAGCTTTCTGACTAACAAGGTCTAACAAGTGCAAGTCCCTTCCTTTTTGGTCAAACATAGAGCTACCCAGCAAGCCCATGGTTGCAAAATATGGAGACCGTCGTCGCCGTTGTCACGACGTCTTCAAGACGCCATGCCCAAAGCTGAACGAAGTAACGTTCGGCCAAGTCGAAGTAAGCGAAATAAGAAGGTGAGAGATGTCAATCTGGAGGAAGACTCGAAGACGAGCCACTCACTGTTTCTCAGCTACGCCTGGCCAATTTGCAAAGGACATTGCTGGAAGCTTGTGATCGGCTTGCTGTTGGTGGGTTTGAATGTAGTGCTGCTGTTTCACAATTTGGATGCTTTTGAATCTCCATCTCTATCTCCATATCATCAGCATGACCTACCACCAGTACCGCTTACCACAACGAAGGTGCTCCACCTTCGCGGAAGGCGTGATGCTCGCGTTGAAGAAATGCCGCAGGTGGCACCTCCAACGTCTGCAGCTCCTCTTTCCATCCGTCAGGAACCTGTGCAGCCTACTGTGGTTGACTTGGTTTCCTCAGCACTAGCACAGAACACCACACAAATCATCAAGTTTCCAACTCCGTCCTGGTCGCTGTCCAACACGGAGTTGTTACCAGGGCAAGAGATTCCGTATAAGGACAAGTATGAAGCGCTCAACAACACACATGCTCAGTATTTGGGGCATGACAACGTTGTGTTTCTATCTCCTTGCAATTCAAATCACATCCACAAAATGGACATACCCTTCGGAGACTTTCTTAAAGAAAAGGCAGCCTTTTTGCAGATGAAATGCTCCCTGAATGAGACTCGTGAGAACATGGCGGCCAAGCATGTGGTGGCATACATGAACTTTCGCGAGAGTGGGTACTATGGCCATGCAATCGACAACATCTTCCCACGAGTCTTTGCAGTGATGCCTGCGCTGGTCCACAGTGGCCATCGTCTCACCTTGGTTCTTCCACCACTTGGGAAGCGTTCCCTGAGTGAAAACACCCGACTCCTTTGTGAACTGCTTGGCATCGAGCTTCGACAACGGGTGCCCATTTGGCCCCACCGCACCCTGGGTCTCAGCGGTGTGTCGCCTTGGAGCCGTGGCCATCGCCAGGCCTTCCAACGTGCCGTTTGGGCGGCGCCCCACCTCCGCCAGGCCCGCGGGAACCTCCGCTGCGGCGGCGGGACCGTCGCCCCGGTGACCAGCTCGAGTGCCGCCGGTGGCAAGGCCTGCGGCTGCAGCTTGGGCGCTCCGGGACTCTTCTTGGGGCGACAACGGACCCGGAACTCTCGGCCGGTGGTGGGAGCGGAGCTGCTCGAGACGGAGTTGGGCTTTGAGGTGGTGCGGGATGCGCAAAGTGTGCCACTGGTCGAGCTCGCGCAGAAAATCCATGGGACCTGCAGTCTGGTGGGCTTTGCAGGGACAGCCATGGATAATTTAATCTTCTTGCCATCTGGAGCAGCGGTAGCCGAATTGAATCCATATGTGATCTACGCCAACACCTGGCTGTGGTCACATGCCTTAGGCTACTGCTTCTGCCAAGTGCAGTCCCCACGGAACCTAGATCAACATGAAGCCGAAAGGTGGGCTTCAATGATCTTGGGCAAGCCGATGGGGAACGTGAGCGTGGAAACATGTGGGCTGTAGATGCTGTAGGCAATGCATATGGCCTGTGGGGTGCAAGAGTGACACCCAAGAGTGACGCCTGGTGTCTTCGGACAGTTGATGCCCAAAATTCCTGTCAGGCGCTGGGCGCTTGGCCGAGTGGCACGCATCCCAGAGTGGAACGTCTTGTCCAAACTCAGAATGTGACATCCATTGAGCTTTGGAACCCACAGTGATAGGATCTTTGAAGCGGTTTCACCCTCCTTTCGATGGCTACCCCAAAGATAACTCCTTTGGTGTTTGCTTCCTACAGACTCCTACAGGCGAACAGGATGACCGTAGATCAGGCGAACAGGATGATACAGGATGACCCGATGACCAACAAGTGACTCAGTGACCCTGTGAGGTGTGGAGGAGGAAGTGCACCTGCTGGATTTCTCCCTCAAAGAACATGTGGCGTACCTCTTCCGATCCCTTGAGTGCCTCGTCCGAAAAAACGCGGACTGCGGGCTGCTGGGGGCCTCCTTTCTACTTTCAGGTTTGCCTTGGGAGGAAAAAGCGACGGCACATGTTTGAGAATCTTCAACGTGTTCCTCGCATCTCAACGCCACTGCATTGAACTCATCCAATAGAATATTGGAAAGTACAGGGAACTCATCCAGTTTCCACACCGGGTTTTCACTTCTGGCTTGGCCTTATTTTCAGTCCTCCAGCCTGGGGCACGGTTCAGCTGGCCAGACGCAGCCAACGTGGAGGTAGGAAACGCCGCAGTTACTGTACTTGGCATGTCATGGAGAATCTGGGCCAGGCCTGTACTGAATTCGAATCTTTCATGGATCTATGGCTGTTGATCCATTCAATGGCTGTTGAGACATCCCAGTACATCCCGCCTCTGCAGCAGAAACAGAACTCAGGCGCTCTGACGAGTTGAAGACGCCTAGACAGCGCTCAGAGCATGTGCGCTTAACGAAAAAAGGAGACATTGACAAGAACAGAAGAGAGTTTTGGTTCTTCCATCATGGAATTGGACAAAAGTGTCGTTTCCACGTTTCCGAGCCACGTTTCCGAGCCAGAAGAGGTAGATGAAACTCCCATGGAGAGCGGTCAACACCCTTGAGCATCTTTGAGCTAACCGTAACTTGATTGATAACTCGGTTGGCCATTACTTGATGACTTCGTTTGGAGGTACGCTCCCTGCTGCAGATGTGTTGTGAGCCTGTCAATTTGGAAGAGCTCGTCAAGGATGGTCTTCAAGCTGTCAAGATAACTCCGTTGGCTAGATGCTGGCTTGGGCGTTTAGGTCGGAGGGTATCTTAAACTTGCGGTGGAAATGCCCCACGACTCTCTTTTGAGCACATGGGGATTCCCCCTTCCCGCACAAACACGGTCGGTCCTCCCAATGTCAACGTTCAGAGAGAACAACGGAGTCGCAATTTTTGGTATGAGATATGCACATACTCTGTGAGAGAAGAGTGGATGCTTGCAAGGAGACGTGGTCTCAGCAGCGCTTAAAGAGCGCAGATGCCACTCTGGCAGAGGAGGAGTATAAAGACTTTGAGCTGAGGCTGGTGTCATCCCTTTTTCCGATAGTCTTGAATCAATCTTCCTTCTTACTTTCCTTTTTTCTGGCATGGTTCTCATCAGGAATTTGGACTTGTGAGACATGGTATGCGACCTTCTACAATTTCATCCGATTTCACAGCGAACTCGCCGGGATCGAGAGAACCGACATTTGTCCCCCCGAGCCTTTGGACCGCCTTTCTGCCTTTCTCCCCGTTCGACCAGTGGAGCTTCGAAGGCTTCAGGTCTTTCAGAGCTTAGCCGCTGCGACGACGAGCTGTGGCTATGAAAGGGAGGTCCTATTGGCCGCGGCCCATAGCGGCACAGAGCAGCTACAGTCCTTTTCTTCGAATCTCCAAGGCAAGCACCAACAAAGAGCTTTCCAGACAAGAACACACATAGACAGAAAACATATACATATATATATATGATATGTATATATATATATACACATACAGTATAACGTATAACTTATAAGTACATACAGACATATTATATATGTTAACTTTTGGACCAAGTCCCAGCGGCTGATCCCCGCAAATTTGTGCCAAGTGCCTGAACATGATTGTTTCGGAGTTTTGCTGTCACCATCCTTTCGAAGGTGTTCCACCAGGTGCATGTGGGTTGGAAGGACACCCAAAAACGCCGCGGGCCAGGCTTGGAGGCGTTGGAACTCCAATTGCGCCACTTAGCACAGGCCACCTTGGAGCCCGGTGCACCCAGTGCTCCTACCCTTGGCCGACCATCCACGCATCGTGTGGGCGCGTGCCAGGCGGGTGATTGGACCCTGTAGATGGGTGATTGGATACCCGTGCCATGCTGATAAGAAACGATAGGGTGAGGCAATGAGGATAGGGTTAGGTGTTGTGACCCATGGTTGAAACTAGTAGCGATGCCCTTTGCTCCTAGTAGCGTCCTTGCTCCGTTCGTAGCGATGCCAGGAGCCCCGTTCGTAGCGTCCTTGCTCCTAGTAGTTGTGACCCATGGTTGAAACCAATAAAGAGGATGGGACTTTCGACGATTGCATACCCTCAAAAAGGATCCTGATACAGGATGACCCCCCCCGGCAAATAGAAGAAAAGGAGTTTTGACCATGGCATATGAAGATGGTCGGAATGGTCGTGTCTTGCGAAACCTTGCAAGGCCTGCGATCGGCTTACCCGCCCCAGGGAGGTCTTGCAGAGTTTGCGCTCCGCACAGCAGCGTGCTGAGAAGGCGCAGCAGAGAGCTTCGAGACGCTGGCGGCTGCTGCAAGTGCTATTGGAGGCACGTCACCAAAAAAGCAGAAATAGAATCAGAACGCTCACATGGAATGAAACGCTGCAAATTAGTTCTTGGAAGACTTTTGTTGTTCATTTGCTGTAAAGCAGCCGGTTCTGCCCGGACTCTATCTCTAGACAATAGACCTGTAGATGAGACTCAGTCACTGTGCTGACGCGGGTTGGCCCAAGGCCGCACCGTAGATGTAAACATTTATATAAGGAGTCGGGACTTTTGAAGAAAGAATTTCAGATTTGGAAAGTCAATTGAACAGTCTTGAGAAAAGTTCTATATGCATCAATATCAACAGGCGTGATAGTAGGATTAAGAGCTAGACGGAACCTTTTGGATGTTGACCTTGCGACAGCAAGGCAGTGATGCTTACAGGATCAGCAGGACTAACAGCAAAGCCAGACCTTAATCAAAGACTGATATAGTGTTGTTGCTTTGGACGCTGATAAATACAACGGCTCCTGACCACAAGTTTTACATCTAGGCCTTGAGATCAATTTTGATATTATCTAGTGTTCTAGATGTCGAGCCCTCAAAAGTTGAAACAACGAAGCTAACACATGTCGAGCCCATCGCCACGATGGGTCGACATGCCGACAGAAGTTAGGTCGACCAACGTTGGGTCCAAGTCCAGATCAAAGGTCCAAGTCACGCAGATCGTGGTGCTCCCGTCAAACTTGGCTTGGTTTAGTTTTTGGTTCCATGATTGGATTGTTGCAGATGTCACAGGTGTGTCAGATTTTCAGAAAGGCCTGTCACATCACATCGAGAGGCTGCTGGGCTTCCTTTGCCCGAAGGCTGTTCCCCACACCTTCTGTGCCACTGTGGCGCCCAGGCGACAGAGGGCGATGGGAGAAACGAAGTGGCGGAGACAGGTGGAACCCCCACAGGTGTCAGTCATTGCCTGTGTCGCAGATGTGTGACAGATGTGTCCCAGATCTGTTACAGATGTGTCAGATTTTGTTCAATTGTCTTCAGATCAGTGCTTTTCCTGGTGAAGGCCACACGACTCTGTGGTCTTTGTGGCCGCGTGGCTTGTGGACATGAGACCTGTGAGTGTGGCGAGGCTGTGAAAGCTGTGAGCTTGGAGAAGCTCACCAAATCCAAGGACGGGGTTCAAAGCATCCACTGAAACATGTCATCCTTCCCATAGGCGCGCCGCGACTCGCGGGCTGCACCATGTGTTTTGCTCGGGCGTTCAACGCCAGGGACATGAACATTGCTGTGGGGGGTGTGAATGCGAGGTAAAACGGAACATGTACAAGGGAGACTCCAACAGTGAAAGACACGTGACCCCAAGAAGGGTGAACATGAGCACTTTTTGCGTTTTGCGGGCCTGGAAACGATTCCTTGAACCTAGGAGCCTGAGCGTCTTCACGGCTCCAAACTTGAGGGCATGGTGCAGCAAATTCGGGAGGTCTTGTCCAGCAATCCCAAAGTTCAATGCCTAGTCTTCTCCCAATGGTCTTCGACCCTTCGCAAGTTTGAAGATGCCTTGAGCACTCATGGCCTGGAGTACTTCATCTCTGGGCGCAAGGCGACTGTCTCAGCCGAGACCAAGAAACCCATCCTGCTGCTGACGCCGGACTTTCTCTATGGAGAGAAGCAGAAAGACAGGAAAGAGAAGCAGAAGAATCATGCCCCTCTTCACCAAGCTTTAGATGGACACTGCACCACTCGCCATGTCTTCTTCACCAATGCCTTTTACATGACTCCTGTGAAAGGCCGGTTTTTCCTCTCAGTCTTCTGTCTTCTCGTAAGCCGTTCGCTAAGCCGTTCGCTCGTCCGCTCGGGACCCTGACAGGGACCCTGCTTGAGCGGAAGATTGTTGACTTTGCCAAAGCTAACCAGCTGGGAATCGCCTCAAAAGTGGTCCTCCACCGCTTTGTCATGGGCGGAACGGTACTCCTGCCATGGTGAGACTCACAGTGACCTGTTGATGCTGATGCTGCGATTTTTTCTTTCTAGTCAAGATCTCTTCTGCTAGATACTCCCAGAGTCTGATGTGCACATTCTCAGCCTTGCATGACCTGATTCTTGTCATGGCAGATTGAAGCCAATGCAGATGCGCTCCAGCAGAATTGACCGGCCAGCCACGCTCTGTTTGCCTTGTTCGTCTGACCAGCACCTCAAGGGAAGACTGAGGCTGCGAGAGAGGCAAGCTGGATTACAGGCCTTAGAGGTCCAGAAATCCACTTTGCAATACTTTGCAAAGGATAACAAGAGTGTGCAGCAGTGCAATTTCTTCAAATTCATGCATGTAGAATCCATCGAACTATATGACGGGTGTGCGGTCTCTAATTGCTGGATCTCCTCATGTTCCATGAAATGGATCTGAACCTGTAAAGTCTGCGGCCACGGCCCCCAATCCAAGGTTTGTCAGATTGCGCCAAGACTCATTTTCGACACATGTGAGACATGTTCTGCCATGCTCGGTATGTGTGCTTTGAGGCTGAGACTTTTTCTGCCAAACCCTTGCAGTTTTATTCGACCTGGGATACCCAAGCCCTGTATAGTGCGCTCCTGTACAGTGTGCATTCTTGCGGCGCTCGCTTGAGTGCAATGATTCCCCAAGTGTGGACATGGCGCAGTGAAAGCAGACCATTTGGGGTTGGGAAACACCTGCAAACATCAGGTTGAGCCACTCAAAGTTGCTGTGCTTCATTGCAAGTCGACTGTCAGAGACGCAAAGGGACTAGACTATATATTTTACATTACATACACATACAAATATATAAATACATCCTTATATATATATACATAGTTATATATATATATATCAATCTGTAAGACGCAAGAAGAGGATTGCGTCCTCCAGCTTTCCAGTCCAAAAGACCTGCAAGGCTCGTGTATGCTACAAATATTTATGTATTTACTGTTTATATCTATTGATACCATTCTCACTCTTCACCACATCTGCAGGCACTGGAACCCGGTCTTTTGGGGCGGTTGAGACTCCAAAGACTCATGCGGCAGCCGCATCCTCTCCATCCTCCGTGTGCGTCTTCTCGGGCTCGGCCCAGTTCCTGGCTCGGCCAGGTGGATGATCTGAAGAAGGACAAGAAGTTCCAACGCACGCCCCATGAGGCAGTGGATGCCTTCTTTGGTGAGGCGAGGCCGCTCCCCGATCCGCGAGACCTCGGGAGGTGGTGGGTGGAATGGACACCGAGAAGCCATCAGCAACAAATAAGATATATTTGAGACATGCAAGAAGTAGCAGTCATGTGCGAAGGTGTCAAAGCCAGTGTTTTAATTTGCTTCGGCCTTTGATTGTCTAAGAGGGCTTCCTTGGCTTTGGTTTTGGACCACCACCAGGCACCTCCGTGGACCACCGCCCCACCCCAGGCGGCCTCCGCGTGGACCTACGACGTCGCTTCGGCCTCCTGTTCCAGCGAGGCGATCGAGCGAGTCTTTCGCTACCCCAACTGGGGATTTCAGATTTTGACCCATCCCATCATCCCATCCCCACATCATTTTCTTGAAGCTGCAAGTTCTGGGTTTATGTTCTTGTGGCATTTGGCCCCCCCCCGCATTTGAAGACTTGGTGAATGGTGACAAGCCGGCGGTACTCCATCTCTGTTGATCCTCAGGCCGAGCTACCAGAAGGTGAAACAGGCCCTTTGACATTGCAACCAGATTTCAAGCTTTTTGTTCAACACTTGCAGAATCTGTTCGACATGGGAGAAGTGAGTCATTCATGAGTCAACTGCAGCGGTCAAGGAGTCACTCTTTTGGACTGCTTTTTGCGTCAATTTTTCGGACTCTGATGCAGCAGCCTTGTTTCTCTTCAGGCAAGTCCAAATGCTGTCGTGTTATTCTTGACATGCTGTAGTCGTATTCGTTTATTCAGTTCTCGCAGCAGCTTTTTCATTTGTAGGAAAGCCATGGAACGTGTTCTGTTCAAGACTTGTTTCCGTCTCGGTGCTCCGTCTCATGTGGAAACCCCACAGGTTTGCGAGTGGTGGACACGCCGGGGCGCCGAGTCGTGGGGCCGGTGGCGGACCGGTCTGTTGAACGAACAAAGTCCCGTTCTCGCAGGGTTGGCGCGAAGAATGGGCGGGTGTTTTGAGTTGTTTGGATGTAATGTATTATGTGTGTATATGTATATATATATATACATACACAAACATGAATGAATATGTCTGAATGTAATGTCAGGGCTCTATAATTACTTCCATGCGGTTCTGTGCGGTGCCTCCGAACGACCCTTTCTGCGTAAATCTTGGTCACAGTCACAGTCTGCCGGAAAGTAGTCTGCTGTTTCAGCTTTGATGTTCACTTCCAGCAGCAGTGCGAACCTTTTCTGAGTGAGTTCGGTCTCAAACTTGGGGATACAGGGATGTTCCAGCACCAAATTGGCAGAGTTCATGGATGAACATCCTTTTCTTGATTTGAGTTGGTCTGAGACATGGGTTGGAACATCTTCGCTATTTTCTATTCTGTCTGCATCGTGGGCAGCTGACAGGTTTTTGGACAATGTTGGCTACTGTGTGGCCGCCAGCAGCAGCAGGCACGTGATTGTGCCATTGTGCCATTGTGTCACCGTTTGTTGTGAGATACTTTTCTTGAAAAAACTCCGGCTAGGCCCAGGCATGATCGAAGTCACTTTTGACGCCCACTTGCCTGAGAGCTTGGAGAGCTTTAATGCGGACTTTAATATAATGAATTTTGCCGATCAAGCCTGTCAATTTGCGCTTTGCCATCTGACCACTTGCGCCGTTGCAGCCATGGGTTGGGGTGGCTGGGGCAAGGGAAAAGGTTATCATCACCACCACCATCCCGTTGAGAGGGCTGTGGCAGAGGTCGCAGTGCTGGGTGGTGCAGCCTTGGCCGGTGCCGCCGTCGCCAGCGCGGTGGCCGCCCCACGTCGCCCAGCTCCAGTGGTTCGAGAGGTGGTCGTGACACCGGCACCGGTGGCCGTGGCTCCAGTGATGGGAACGCCGGTGGCAGCTACTCCGGTGGTGGTTTACAAAGGCAAGGGCAAAGGCAAAGGATGGAAAGGGAAAGGAAAAGGCGTGACGGAGGTGCTGGAAGTCCCACCCTTGGGAGTCAGTGCCGTGGGCATTCCAGCCTCTGGTCTTTCGAAGCAGCAGGGTGTGACCTTCTTCTCGGTGGATGTGGTGCCAGAAAAGGGGGCCTCCTACCGACTGCAGAAGAGATACAATGACTTTGATGGGTTGAAGGATGGGGGTGAGTCGGGCCAGATGCCATCGAGCAAGCATTCAAAATAAGTATTTTACTTCGAGTGATCCCCGCGACTTTTCAAGGCTTTGTTTTGATGCGGTGGAGATCATCTGAAATTCCGCACCAAACAAGTCAAGACGCCATGCGACATTTGTTGGATCACACGAACCAGTGAAAACGCATGCACCAGGCCATTGACACCATTTGTTGGACAAGTAAAAATTTCTTTATGTAATCATATTGTCCACCATGTTTTGTCTGAAGGCGGTGTCTACTGCACTCTAGTGATGAGAGTTTGGGTCCGATATCTTCTGTCATCACCTCTGGCATTCTACGTGGTATAGCTTCTGACATTCTTTCTTGCATATTATTTGGCATATAAGTTGACATATATTCTGGCATAAATGGTGACATTTTATATCTGGCATCTATTCTGACATTATTTGGCAACATTCTGTTGGGCATGTATTGTGACATTCTGTTTGGCATCTATTGAGGCATTCTATCTTAAGTATATTCGGACATATATATATATATACACGAGCATTCGACCTAGCATTCAGTTTGTCATTCTATCTAGCATGTATACTGGCATTCGATCTGGCATGTGTTCGTGCATACTTTCTGACATCCTATCTCGCATGTATACTGCCACTCTATTGGGCATCTAATCTGTTCTTTTGGGCATCAGCGCAGCTGGTTGCGGTCCGCTGATCCACGGACCGGATTCCGGTCCGCTCACGGTTCAGGTCCGGGGGTGCCCACTGCGGCCCGGTAGTGCCCATCCAGAGAAGGAGGTGGAGAAGGAAGCTTTAAAATCTAACAGCCCTCGCCTGGCATGTGGGGAGCTATGACTGCCCAAGGATGTGCGTGACACACAGTCTGGTCTTAATGCCACCTAAAGTCCCTACAGCTGGCCATGGGAATTGGCGGGACGGCATGTTCCTCGCCTTTCCTCGTGCCAGCTGAGCACTCGTGGGTCTGTATTCTGTGTTTTCCTCGCAGGAGCGGCTCCATCGCATGGCACCGCATGGCTGGATCAGCCAGGACTTCCCTCCCAAGCACCTCTTTAGTTGTGAAGGTGCGAAGCTGGAAGATCGACGTCACGGTCTTGAAAGGCGCTGTGTGTTTCCTGGTCGACGTCGGATCGGGTGGGTGCAGGTTTTTATTCGGGCTCTGTAGGGTTAGAACCTGTTGTGTTGCACCAAGGTTCTACAAACCGTTGAGTGAAGGTGTTGATGCTGTTCAGCCCTTCGGTGCTATTCAATCAGCAATTTGATCCACTGAGCCGATGCAAAAACTGTTTTACATGGTTGTTCATGCTCCAAACCCTTTTCAGAAACTCCAGCAGGTCTTTGAGTCGCTAAAACATACCACGAATCCGGAGTCGGTCTCCGTGTTTGGGGCAGGTGGCTGACGCGGATCCTGAATGACCCCCACAGCCGTGGACTTTGGTGCTTGGAGCTTCGTGGGTTCCTGGAAGTGGGCGGTGTGCATACCCTCCCAGACACAGCGCCAGCGCCGCCGTCAGCCTCGGCACCGGAGCCAGAAGGATCTGCGTTTCGTTGCTGTAGGTGTGAGGGGAGGAACCACTTCTGCTGAGAGATATGGTTTCTTTGGGCCTCTGTTCCAATAGAAATCGTTTTATCTACAGTACGTAAACAAGGGAATCGCTTCTTTTGGTGACATCTGAAGCCGCTGGTGAAAATGGGAACACACTGTGCAAAAATCCTTGAACCTGGAACGTCTACGGAGGAAACACCATTTATATGCTCAGGACATTTCTAAAGGTGCTTTGCATGTGACTTGACAGAGGCACTTGGGCAGATTGTAGGTGTGGAATGGCCAGGTTTGACAAGAGATCATTCTGGAGGGAGGTTGGACTGTTTGAGGAGTTTGGACTTTGACAGTTTGTAGGTTGAGCACGATGAAATCTTGCTCTCCTCTGGTGTGACTGACCCATATATACATCTCCAAAGGTCACACATACCGAGGTGCCGTTTCGACTCTCTTGACCGCTGTCTCCAGGACAAGTCTTAGAGATCACCATTCCAGCTGGCGTCACGAGTGGGCAAAGCTTGTCGGTGACTGTGCCCGACGGGCGTCAACTGACCTTCTGTGTGCCGCCGGAGGCTGCCGCGTCCGCCTCGCTGCAGCTGTGGTTCGATCCGGTGGCTGGCACGGTGAGCCCCATGGTCTGAGTGAGAGATCGACAGAAGGAGTGGTTTGTTCCGGAAGCTGCACTGTTGTTGGACAGTGAAGCTGTAGTTGAGATATTGATGGTGACTTTCTGAGAAAGCCATGAATCCTCTTTTTTGCTCACGTTTTGCTCTTTGCGTAGAACAGCTCGAGAGAGAGTCGTGAAGCAGTCAAAAAGGATAGCTTTGCTTGCAGATTCAATGGCACTGCATAGAAGTGGATTCAAATCCAAAAAGAACATTGATCAAAGCCATGAGTGTTCTTCACGTGTCTTTGGGGATGCCAGGCACGGGAGAAGTCATTGAGGCTTTGACTTCGTCTCATGCTTTGACTTCTCTTTGGATGACAGGTATCTACACAGGGCTGTTCGTGGTCGTGTGAGTGGACTCCTACATCATTGTCGGCTTCCAGAGGAGAACGGTCGAGAGGAAGTCTGTTTTAGTGATTTGGTCAGCCGAGCCCTGCGTGATGGGCATGTATCCCTGCGTGAGCCTTGGTTCTCTCATTTGGTTGACCCTGAGAGTCTACAGAGTAGACTGGGACTCAACCTGAAGTTGAGATCTCCTGGGACAGGCAGATCCTTTGGATTCCTGTGGCCTGCTGTTTGGGTTTGGGTTTGTGGCTGATGAACAGGACGAGGACCCACCTGACTTGATAGATCCAGAGGAGGCTGCGGAGCGCGGTGCATTGGCGGAGGGAGCAGAAGTTCGTTTGGCAAATCAATGGGTGGAAGCGGGGTGGGCGGGGACTCAAGCTGCCAAGCTGCCAAGCTTTTTTGAAGCATCAGCTGATATGGTACAGCTGATCCCAAAACCCAAGTCTTCGACAGTTGGGCTTGATACCGTATCAGGATCCTTCGACACAGACGGTGGACCTTCGTCGCCGTCCAGACGTCGCTGTCCGGATCGAGCAACGTGCGCATCTGAGAGGCCTGCCGCTACGCGAGCCATTGCGCCTCCAGAAAGGTGAGGGCGGCGGTTGGAGTCGGGATCCGACCCGCCAATCCGACCGTGACTTGTAGCTTCTTGTTAGGCGATGCCCTTCTTAGCTTCCAGCTAGAGACGTGAGTGGTGTTGAGTCGGTGTGACCTCGGGGTTATGGGCGAGGGCAACCGAAAAGGGCCGCCCGAATCTTTTGTTCTTGGCTTTCAGGTTCCATATGTGTCTCTTGGATGGAGGGTGTAAGCCCTTGCTTCTTGGTCCAGGTCGTACTTCTCTACTACTTGGGGCCGAGCGTGGCTGTGGCGAGCATGGGTGCCCAGAGAGATTTGGACTGAGCCTTGACACTGCCGATGCCGCTCGAGGCCTTTGTCCAAGAGGAGATCCCTCCAAGACGTATGAGGCGGGTGACATCACCTTATACAGGAATGCAAAGAAAAAAGAGAAAACGACCGAGGAATGAACGCCTTTGCATCGTGTTCACATCATTCATTTCACATCTCTTCGTAAAAGGATACATACATATGACATATATATATATATGTATGTATATACTAACTGTATATGTACATCTATTTATGCATACGCACATGGAGAGGCATAGATAGGATGATGTGCCCATTGAATTAATTTTGAGAATCATCGACTGGAAGGTACGAATAACGGAGGATACGGTGATCGTGTACTTGAATGATGCGTGCGAGCTGTATTTACAGGAGCTTTTGACTCTCGACGGGTCTAGGATTTCTGCATGCTACAGCAGCGGCCGGCGGTGAGGGATTCTATAGCGAAGTGACGTGTGAAACACCGTTTGAACATTGCAGGACACATCCTGAACACGGTTTTCTTTGCGGCCTGTACGGCCGTTGCAATGTTTTTTTTCTCTTTTTTCCATGGCCATTGGGAATGGAAGGCCAATCAACATGGTTTGCGGAGTTTACTGTGGCCACTGAAAGCATGGATCATCATCCATTTAGTTCGGTCGCAAATGGCCTTTGTATGAAAGACATTGTGTGGGTCAACACGCCCTGGATCAGTGCGTGTTGGGGTCAGTCTTGGGGGTTGGTCCGGTTTGCAGGGTTGTTTTAGTGCACAAAAGCAATGTGCAACAGCAATACTCGGGTTCCATGTTACCATGAAGCCCCATTTTTTCGCTTTTCCAGTTGCAGAGGGAAGATGGTCCATTCAAAGCAGGAGCTGGGGCCTGGCCAGATCTTTGAGGTGGACAGTCAGTGGTTATGCAGTGGATTTCTAGCAGGTCCATTTTCCACAGATCGGCTTTTCGACCATGGATTCAAGACATGAGAATGCCTGAAATGAATGCGTATGAGCTGCATTATGTGGTACTGCAAGTCAGGATTTCTTTTGTGGTTTGAGCAGTAGCCATGGTCCGCCGAGGGTCCTGGAAACACTTGCAGACACGGCCGACCGCCGCATTTGGCAGGTCAACCTGATGCTGCAGACACGACAGTCGCAGCAGCTGGCACCCAAGGACACCAGACGTGCACCAGACGTGACACTCAGCGCCTCCGACGCAGATGTGACACCGACTCCGCAGAGTGCCACCGACGAAACGCAGAAAGTAAATTTTCAACTCACTCCACTGAGTGAGCTAGTGCTTTCATGTGGTGCAGCTAGTTATACCAGTTCTTTTTGCGAGTTTCAGAGCTTTCTCGAAAAACCCTGCAGCCTTTTGGGCTTTTCTCTCTCCGCCAAAGCTTTCGAAGAAGCTTGGATCATCACCTTGAAAACAGTCACTGGGCAGCAGTCATTGTGCCCTTGGGAGTGAACGCAACGTTGTGCCCGTTTTGGGTACGTGTCGCGTTTAACGGGTACGCGGACGTGCAAAGCGACCACCGGTGGTCACCGAAAAGCAATCGCACCCAAATCCAGAGTAGCCTGACAACGTAGAGCTGAACCAACAGCCAACAAACTGTAGCAGAGCGAGGTGAACCGAGCTCAAATTCTGGAGATCTTGGTCCGGAAATGATTCGATTTCTCTGAAATCGAACATGGACATGTGGAAATTCTTGGAAATCTGCTTTGGGAACTCCCTGTTCACTGTGCTTCTTGTTGGAAAGAACTGCCGGCTAAGGCATCTTACAGCTGGCCACAAGACTGGCTGCCTCCTGCGAGCAGCGGTAGTGGATTCGCTGGATTTAACACTGGACTTTGGGCCAAGAACTTTAAACAATCACTCTTAGCAAGCGTAGTGAGCATGTTGCAAACGTTCATTACTGTCAGTCAAACATCAAGTTCATCTCCACATGTGCGATTGACAGCAGCAAAGCACAACGAACGCCCATTTTAAACACTAGTCTTTGGCCAGTGCTGCTTGAAACTTTACCTCAACGCCGGTCACCGTCGACGGCTGCCACTCGCCCGCGATGGAAAGGTTTCGCAGAAAAAAACCGTCGAGAGTCGAGACGATCATGACATTTCGCCGACTGAAAGCTTCTGCCAGTGATTCTTTTGAACATATTTTTTTGAATCCTTTATTTTTTTTTGTTTTGTTTGCCTTGGTTGTTGAGATTGTGAACATGGGCTGTTTTCGAGCGGTTTTTGAGCGGTTTTAGACAGGTGACTTTATCATCCTCGTGCCACTTGTGTCATTTGTTGACGTCAGCGGCCTTAGATCTTCCACGAAACAACGTCAGTTGCTTGTAGGAGTCGTTGGAATCTCTCAGACCGTCCTGACTTGATGTGCCCAGGGAAGCTGATGTGCAGAGGTGCAGTTCTGAAGCAGACCTGTGTGCTTGTGACATTTGGATCTATTCTCACCAACACTTCGTGGTCAGACACTACCGGTTCTATGTTTGATCATGTTTGACGAAACCGCACTCATGGAGGCTGAGAGACCCTGCAGATGGTGTCGAACCTTCAGGAGGGAGCAGTTGTCGAGCAATCTCGAACATCCAAGTCGACCTGAACTGCCAGGTGTTTCTGCTTTGTAAAGACACTGGACCTTTCCATCTTGGCAAGGCCTCTGGTATTGATGTTCCCGATGGGAACAATGGGAAGGACCCCAGGCGCGCCTCCCTTGTTCAGCATCCAACTTGCTTGAGTGAACACCCTCCGAGACAGAGAGCTTTGCACTGAGGCAAGAGAAAGAACGTCGTGAAGATGATGCGGGGGCACCAAGGGGTTTCCACAGAGCTTCTGAGCCTGATTCTTGATGTTCTTTTGAGCATTGCAGTTGATCCTGGTACACACATTGACCATCAATGACCATCGATTGTCTGTTCGTCTGACCGTCAGCACAGAAAAAGGCACTCCGACAGAGACAAGAGACCTTGTTCATCGGAACTTTTGGGGGGATGCACTTCGGGTTGGAGGGATGGATCTGCACTTGCGATCCACGAAATGGCATATGGAATGAATGCGGAATGACTGTGGAATGAATGGCGAAAAACACCCGCAGAACAGGATGTGTTTGTGGAAGATGGGCCCAATGACCACGGGAGCCACGATGTTTGCGCGCGCACAGCGCGTCCAGCGAAGGCTCCAAGGCTCGCCCAGTCGGCCGCCCGGTCGGCCGTCCGACGGGGCGTTCGTCGTTGCAAGGCTCGCTTCACCCAGACCTTGGCGGCCATGCCCCGGAACTCAGGCGTGACCACCCGGAACCGGAATGCGGCATGACTCGCGATGATAGAGTGGATGGCGTGTGTACTTGGGAAAAATGATAGAGTGGAACAAGAGTGGCCACAGAAGTGGACTCTTTTCTGTTTTGGTTTGTCTTCGATTTCTCCCTGCTTTTCATGTCACTGACGTTTTGGGGATGGAACGACTGCGTTTTCGGAAGTTCCACACCTTGAAGATTGTTCGACCGAAACAGCGGATGCATTTGGAGGGTTCGAGGGTTCGGCCGAGTCCGAGTCGGTTCGGAGGCCCCGGCGTGTTCACCTCGATCCTGGCGAAGCTGGCACGAGAGCGCCGCTGGCGGGACTCCGTCGGTTTGAGTGTGCGGGAACTGCGAAGTGTGAGGAAAGCGGTCAGAAGACGAGCTGAGACATCCATGTGGAGCTTTTGCTTTTTCTTTTTTGCCAGAAGTGGTTCAGGTGGGATGTGGATGCAGTGTTTGCAGAGATGACGGCCCGCAACATTAAGCAAAGCTCTTAGTCTTCGAGCGGCCCTAATTCGATCGTGTACCGACAGTAGAGATGCTGGTCACTCAAAGCCCCTTTCGCTGAGATTTGACCTCTTCGCCAGTGAGGCCGAACAGGATTCACCTCAACGCGGCCATCAACGTCTTCGCCAAAGCTAGGCGCGTGCGGCGCGCCGTGCTCTCTCTCTCTCTCTCTTTTTTCGCCGGTGGAATTTGGGACAAAGCCCACGGTGTGCAGACGTTTTCTTATTTACTGTAACAGTCTCCACTGACGGGGATCCACGGAGGAATTCACAACTACTTTGACCGCTTAAAGGAGGAATGTAGATGTTAAAGAATGACCGCTTTGGATGAGCATTGACTGCTGGCTGTTCCTTAATTGCTTTGGGAGGAACTACTGTAATTAACTATATATATACTATATATATATTGGAGTTGGTTGTGTCCATTCTAAAAGTAACTGTTGGAGTTGTTTGTGTTCCTTGAAACGCTTTGCACTTAAAGACGTGCCCAATTCCAACCGCTTTGGCGCCTCATTGAGGCGACCGCAGAAAGCAGAAGAATGGCTGATTTGGATGCAGGACAACGACCTCAAGCCAAACGAGGTCCCACATGCCAGCTTCGAAGTGAAATAGAATGGAATTTGTTCCATATGATGCCGGAGTGATGATCGCACTGGCTCCGTGCCATTTAGAGAGCATGGTACAGAACTTCCACATGAAGAACAGGTGGAAACGTTCTAGATCTACCTTTGCAGACCCTCTGCCGTTGCTCTTTCAAACATCTCCTCTATTTCAACTGTGACCGCTCAACACGTGACATGCCTAGACAAAACGTGACTGGAGCAGAACAAAGCATTCGACCGTGTACCCCGCGGAACGCGGAACGCCCCTCGGTCGCGGAACGCGCGGAACTCGGTCAGGTCAGTTACAACAGCGTCATCAACGCTTGTGCTCAAACTGGCTACGTCGAGCGTGCTGAGATGTGGCCAAGGGCCCAGGATTGGGATGGGGGTCTCTGCGTCTGGGGTCTCGGGGGCGTCTCGGGTCTCGTCTGAAACATATCGAGGATCGAACAGCAAGTCATCTGTTTCTCCAAGTCTCGCACCGTCCAAGACCATGTGTTGGTCTAAGTGCTCATTTCCGAAGTGCTCAGGGTCTCAAGACTTAGGCAGATTTCGGCAGCGCTGTCTCTCCAAATATGGGAGATTTGACACTGAAGATTTTCAAGAACTTGCTGCTCTTACTCTGGACAGGTGCTATCTTGCCAGAGGCTACGAGCAACAACAGTTATGAAGACGAGGGCAACCACGCTTGTGCTGGCAACATGACTGCACTGGCCAGCCAGGCTGAGTGTGCAGAAGTGGCAGAGATGTTTTGGCCTGGAGGTGGATGCTATCAGCAGCCCTGGAAGTCGATCATCAAGACCTTGTCAAATGGATCAGCCTACCCTGCTGGATGCGTCTATGAAACTGCTGCAGGGGGTGGCTGTGCACTCCTATTTCAGCCAGACGGAAAGGCACAAGAGTGCCAAGAAGGCACTCTATGCCATGTCTTGTGCAAGAAATGCCTTGGAGTAGGACAGCCCTGCAACATGAGCCACAATACCTGCTGCAAGGATCAGGTCGGTGTACCAATGCAATGTGTTTCGATGGGGGGAAGCCCAGTGTGCATCTCTGGGAACGGTTTGTTCGCGTGAGACTCTCCGGGAACGGTTTGTCCTTCATACACTTTACCTAAGTCTATCTGACAGACTTTGGACATTCGCAAGGCGCAGAAGATCGAGACTTGGCAATGCTTGGCTGTCAAGATGTACTGGCGGCAACACAGATGGCATTTGGCCACTTGCTTGTTTGCCAACACGCTGATTCGTTGAAAAGAATCGAAAGAGCTGGCTGGAAATTGCGTCTGATGTTTGATTTGCAAAGTTGTAATGACATGGGCAGCAAGCTATTGAATTGGATTGCTAACATCCGTCCATGAGGCTTTCTTAAGGGTTTCTTTTTGCAACGTTTGTAAACTTGTACCGATTATGTATTCTCCACCTGTTTGAAACGTCCACAAAACTGAAACAACAAACATTGCTTTGCCTTGGAGACACGCACATATAAAGTACAGCAGACAATAGCTTTTGACATATTCTTTCATTTGCTTGTTGGCAGACTGAGGCTCGGCCGCATGCTGGAAGCGGGTGTCCAAGCGAATGAGGCACCTGTGGGATCCGCTGTTAAAAGTCATCAACCTCCACTTAAAGGATTGGTGAACAATCTCCCGAGACTGTCCATGTGGCGTTGGTCATTCAAATGGAGTCAGCGGTGAGAGGATGACATCGACCAGGGTCACATCGGGATTCGCACGCGAACAGCGAACGCCGAGACAGGTGAGCTACAATAGCGTCATCAACGCATGCGCTCAAAAGGGGCGTGTGAGCCGGGCGGCTCCTTGGCCGAGCATGTTCTGGGTTTTAAGGCCTAGGCAGCTAGGCTGTGAACAAGCTTATAGTATTATATAGGTAAGGGGGTAAGTAGCGAGTAGTGACTAGCAAGGAAGCTACGCATTGTTTTCTTCTTTTCCCCATGATATCATGATCTTGATTTGGTTTTTGAAGCCATGCCTTGATGCTTGTGTTCTCAAAACTCATTGGTGTGGAGGGTGAACTGGTGATAGCTGTAAAGTCTTTCAACATCTCATGCTCAAATTTTCAGAGTTTTCAGAGACCTTTTCGCATGCCTAGGAGATGTGGCTGGAGAAGATGTTGGCTGCTGGTGTGAAGACTGATGCTTTCAGCTACAACAGCGTCATCAACGTGACATGACATGGATCTTCAGACATTTCATGGTATGTCACCATGTTATTGGAGCCCAATTCTCACAGCGATTTATTTTTAGAAATTAAACCTTAAACACTTAAGTAGTCTTCAATTATTTCAGTGTCTTCTTGGAGAAGCATTTTCTGGTTGACACCGTATTTCACTGCGTTCAAGGCTTGTGCACAAAGAAGAGACATTGAGCGCGCTGAAACATGGCTCGTTGGGATCTCAGGGTGTCCAAGTCTCGTGTCAGGCAGGCAGCAAATGGATTTCATGACAACAGCTGCAAATGCTGCAGCTAGCTTCGGCTACTGCCTGGTTTGAAGGTTTTCGGGAGCTGCTGGTTCCGACCCTCTCCTATTTTAAGTTCCCTTTTGTGCGCCAGATCTGTTGGTCCCTGGATGTTGGACTTTGCCGTTAAGTGAGCACCGACAGACGCAGCACACAGTGCAATGTTACACCGAGCCAAGCTCTCATGGGTTTGCCTCAGTATCGCAGGGAAAAGAATCATCAGCAGATGGCCCTGCCAATCGGAGAAGTAATTAGTGTGGGCTCATCCATTGCTATTGGGGGACGGATGAGAGTTTTGAGGGTCGACAGTCGACAAGCAACTAGGATGAGGATGGGCTGTGCTCAGGCTACGGGGTTCCCTGGAGGCACTAGGACGAGGTAAAAGCGGTAAACATGTTACTGTATGCTTTTTTACCGTTTTCCCGGGGGGTCGCCCTTTCTTGTGCTGCCACACGCGTTGTAAAGAACGGTAGACTCGGTAGACATCGACATTTATGTTTTATCGTCATCATTGTGTTTTTTTGCCGTTTGTCCTGGGGGGTCGCCTTATGCTCTTTATCGCACGTGGTAAAACCGGTAGAAAGCACATTCTTTTTTATCTGTTTTTCCTGGGGTCGCCTTTTCTTTTACCGCACGCGCGGTAAACACAGTATTTTTTGTTTATTCTAATTTTTTGCCGTTTTCTCTGCGTGGGCGTGAGCGGGTACTCCTTAGCAGAACAACACACGCGAACCGGGTCAGGGATGGGAGCCTAGCCATAAATGGCAGCAATCCTCATTTTGGATCCAAAATGCAATACTGAACATCATTCCTGGATCTATCCATTTTTTTCACCGCTATTCTGCTTGAGATATTTTGTTGAGGAGATCAATTCCGAGGATAGGATAATTTGCTATGATCCTTTCCAAATCAAAGAACTGAGGAGAAGATGCTCAGCGAGGGCATCCAAGCTGATGAAGTGAGCGAGAAACTGAGTGAGATGACCGTGATTCGTGTTCATTAGGGCGTTTGCCTGGAGACTGTGGTCTCCTGCAAGCCTCTTCAGAGGGCAGGCCTTGCAGGGTGCTGCGTGTGGGTGTGGAAGTCCAGATTTTGCTAGGGAACTGCTACAAGGCTTCATTCGCCTGACCTGCGAGTAGTGTTTGAGTCAACCTGCACATGGTCCAATCCATGTTGATTGGTGAACATCTCAGACGGTGCATGTTCGATGTTCAGATTTGGTGCCTTGTAGGATAGCTCATCGCCCCACTGACCGTCCAGATTTCTTCCGCCAACATGCTCTTCTTGTGGTCAAATCCCCGGTCTCGGTCCCGGCCTAGGCTATAGCAGCGTCATCAAGGCCTGTGTACAGAAGGCGAGCCATGTGATGTTCAAGTGGTTTGTTTTGGTCTCGATTGGTCTTGCTAAAATAAGATGCTTGCCGCAGCTTGCCATTCACACATCCTTTTTGGCTCTATTCCGGTGAGCCTCCACGCTTTTTGTCATCAGGAAGTCCTCAAGAAGGTTTTGAAAGGTCTCATGAGGGCCTTGCGGGTTCTTGGCAGGGCGAGCTGGACTTGGCCGGCTACTGGTGCTGCTGGCCTATGCTTTTGTGATACCATCAACTACTTTGGGTCGACCCGAATGGGTGACCTTTCAGGGTCGACACCTCGGTCTAGCATGATGCTAGCATGCAAGTAGACCTCTGCATCCTATTCACTATTAGACCATTTGTAGGTGCTTCGGTTCTTTCATTTTGAGACCTTGCGCACTCCGACATGTCTACTCCCGTATTTTGATCTTAGACTGCAGGACCCTAGGTCTGTTTTCCGGTTCTTTAATTGCTCAGATTGTATCAGCCTGGATGCTCGGACACCTGGTGGGGGTCTAGAAAGAATATTTCCAAGCACAAGCACGTGATCAGCTGCCGCAACAGTACCTCCATACCATGTAAGACCCTCTACTTGGGAAAGAAAACGCTATATATTATGGGGAGCATATAGTCAGTGATGCTCATCCCTGCTACCCAGCCTTGCTCTTTCATAAGGGCACTCTCGCCTGCGACTGTTGTGGGTGGGTCTATGTTGGTTCGTTTTAAGAATGAATGGAAGTTGGAACCCCCGTCTAACATGGTAAACAAAAGAGTGTTTTTTTTCCTTCTTGTTAGGTTTTCATGTTGGTTTACTTGAAATACCTGAGGTCCCTTTGAATATAGTTGCAGGTATTTTTTGGTGCCGACTGCACATGACACAATCATCCCATCCATTCTGAGGTCCTTAAGCGTAGTTCACCAGCTTCAGCTGCCGGCGTTTTGTAGGGTCAACCTTTCGGATCCGCGACCACGTTGCCAGGTTGGAGCGTATGGCGGCCGCAGGGCTTCAGGCCAATGAGGTCCGTCTTGGTACGACTTTGGCGGTTTGGGGAAATGGACGAGTTGCTTCACCACCGAAGGCGCCAGAACTTCCCCCAAAGCAGGGTTTAAACTTTGAGACTAGTAACAAGTGCCTTACTAGTAGTAACAAGAAGCTAGTAGAAACAA